TGTTATGCTTTACTTTGGATTTAAACGTTTTGTAAATAGATGTTGAAGTTTTTGTATTTACACTTACGCTTCCTATACTTCCTTTCCCAACGTTTAAATTAGGGTTTTTAGAAAACCTCCTCATAAATAAACCTTTCCTTATATGAAGTCCCTTCAATGTTATGTGAAATATATCAGTCAGCACTATTTTATTCCAAAATGTTATTAAAAAAATTGAAGACATATAGATCACTATCTACAATTCTAAACGTATAAAGTTCACACATTAACCATTCTCCACTTGATAAAATTTGTCCCTCCCTAAACAAGCATATATTCAGATTTTCTATTATGTAAAATAAGGTATATTTCATACAAAAATCCCTTGAACAAAGTTTACTATTTTTTTTTCAATGGCACATTATACTCCACTCCATGCCATCCTGCCATTGTTAACTTGCTACCCAGAACTCAGCATTCACACTGCGAACAACAACAGGAATCCTTTACAAAATGGGTTGAAATATTTGTTCTGTCTGCTGGCAAATGGACATATGTCCAAGTGTTTGCTCGGAATGCACACATATACGAGAATGTTTGTAAGTCTGGCGTATTATAGTGAAAATAATGCTGTGTAGTGTCATTGTAGTTTGTTGAATATTTGAGGTGGGGGAAGCTTACAATCCCCGGTCCATTACAACCATCCCAACCACCTCCCCTTCGGAGTATGTTACGAATTGGTTGACATTATTGGAAAATGTTTCCATGTCATCATGTGGGAATTTTCATGTTGTTGTCCAGTGTTTTGTTACTTTGCCTTACATTTACTTAACGCTGCCATCTCGAGAGAGATATGTCTGTGCTCAAACATATGCATACGGACTTGTGTACGTTGATGTAGGATATTAGAACGAATCGAAAATGAATATTTATACTTACCCGGAAAAAAGAGAATCAGGTAAACAATTTTCAATTTTTTACAACTATCGGCCATAATGAAAATAAATCGAGGTATTAATCAGGATTTTTTTTAACTTTCTTAAAGGACTATGAGTCCGTAATCTTGGGATTTCACACAAGAACCGTTACTATTACAGTAGTTGATATGATTGCACTATTTTTACGGAATACCGGTACATAAGAGCGAATCGATCGGATTGTTCCTAATCGGATTCCTTAAAGACTATGTGGAGTAAAGTTTTCTTTTTTAAATTTTAAGAGTGACTATCTGGTCAATTTATAAACAATGCTTTTTTTACTGACTACCAGTTCTAAAAGTTCTATAAGCATGTATTTTTTAAAGTTATTTGTGATGGATTCTTGGACATTTTACTGCAGTATTTTATTAAAATTATTTGAAAATTATAAATTGTGAACATTTTTTGAAGAACCATCTGGCGCATGAACGTGAATTTTTAACAATTATTTTTGAAGGAATATCAGACTCATAAGGGTTTTTTTTTAATTTGCTGGAGGATTATAAACACATGCTAAACGAGCAATATAGCTGTAGTCGTAGGTTTTTAACATAATACTTATATACAGGGTGGCCCATATTCGACTGACCCATGTTTTCTTTGGGCCCATTCCAATCGACGAGGATTGTCCGCAGGCAACATTCTTTGCGTCAATTGAATTTTGTACGGGAACAATTGCAAATCAATGCGAATAATCCGTTGAAAAGTGGACCGAGCCATGCCCAACTGCTGAGAACGGCGTTTTTGGGATGATGCAAAAACTGCAACCAACTTCAGACTGCTGTCCTTTCTAAGCCACTCGTCCGGCAGCTGTTAAAATTATTCCAGTGAAAGCTCATTATATTGCTTATAAGCGTACAGAACATTTTGGTGAGAATATCCCAGAAAGAAAGTTATTCGTGATGGAATTCAAGCGTGATAATGTGATTTCTTTATATTTGGCTGGAAAACCACAAGTGGCTATCGTTAGGGCACTCCAGCATTTAAATGTGAATAAATCGTTTGTGTCTCGCACCATCGCTCGTTACCGTGATACTGGTAGCGTAGCGCAACGTCAAGGAAGTTAACGGAAGAAAACAGCAACATCAGCAGATATGGTTCGAAAAGTAAAGAAGCGACATGATCGAAACCCGCGTAGCAGTGGCCGTAAAATGGCTGGTGAGCTGAACATATTGCAATCTTCCATTCGGAAAATATTGAAAAATAAGCTCGGGTTAAAGCCATTGAAATTCCAAAAAGTGCAAGAACTTACACCGCAACAGAAAGATAATAGACTCAAAAGAGCTAAAGAGTTGCTTCGCTTGGCCGAAAGTGGTGAACTGCCGAATTTGGTTTTCTCCGATGAGAAAATATTCGTTGTCCAGCAGTTTGTAAACAGATAAAAGGATAGTGTTTACTTGCCAAAGAGGTAAACTGAAAATGTGCACCTTCGGTGGGCCACCAGAACTCAAGCGCCAGCCATGGTGATGGTGTGGGCCGCGATAACAGACGATGGTAACTCTCCGCTCATATAAAACGACCGAGGCATCAAAATAAATGCAGAATATTATCGCGAAAATATTCTGGAGGGTGTATTAAAGCTTTGGGCACGCAAACATTTTGACCTTGGAAATTGCAACAGGACTCAACAATATCGTTCTCAGCAAGTGCCACCCAAGGATGGTTATAAAATGAGGTTCCTCGCTTCATTTTCAGCGGACAATGGCCACCAAAATCTCCGGATACCAATCCCTTGGACTATTGTGTCTGGATTATTTTGGAAAGCACAGTTGGCACTAAAAAATACCAAAGTGTCGATCACCTCAAGCAAGCGCTTGGTTGAGAATGGACCAAAATACTGCAGAGTAACATTCGGCAGCGTGTGACGGTTTCATTGGCCGTTTGAAGGCCATAATTCGTGCCAAAGTTGACCGATTCGAACAAATGTAAACTTATTCTAAAATTTGATGCTTTTTCCGAAATTTTTTGCTTTCATTCAATAAATTAAAAAAAAACAAGTAAAAAAGCTGTAAGGTCGGCCGGGCCGAACTTTTAATACCCTCCACCATTTGTTACAAATTTGGCAATTTCAAAAAAAAAAAAAAAATAATAATAATAATAATAAAATCCGTTCACAATTCTGTTAAAATATTAAAAATACCGAATGCCTATACGACGACGTGGACCTGCATAGGGAACTTTTGTCATGAAGTATCACAATATTTAAATGCGAAACTTGAAGAAAAATCTGTTTATAATGTAGCTTAAATCATCAAAATACCGAATATAGGGGGTACCGTTATATGGGGGCTATACGAAGACGTGTACCTGCACATACAATTTTCTGGTATGGGCTGAAGTATCCATTACGAAGTTCACATGCGAAATTTGAAACAATCCCGGTCAATAATGTCGCTAAAATCATCAAAATACCGAATATCGGGGGGTACGCTATATGGGGGATATACGAAGACGTGGACCTACATGGCCCATTTTCTGTTTTGTGCTGCAGTATCTATTACGATCTTCAAATACCAAATTTGGAATGATTCCGTTAAATAATGTCGCTAAAATCATCAAAATACCGAATATCGGGGGTGCACCGTTATATGGGGGCTATACGAAGAAGTGGACCTGCACAAATAATTTTTTGTCTTAGGCTGTAGTATCCATTACGAACTTCAAATGCCAAATTTGAATCAATTCTTTTGAATAATGTCGCTAAAATCATCAAAATACCGAATATCGGGAGGTACTGTTAAATTGGGGCTAAATGATAACTTGGATCTACATGGGCCATTTACAAACTTAAGCTGCCTACTGGCAAAATATACATGTCTGCAAAAATTTAGCCTTCTATCTCAATTTGTTCGAAAGATAGCGTGATTACACACACACAGACAGACAGACGGACAGACAGATAGACGAACATGGCTAAATCGTCTTAGAATTTTACGCTGATCAAGAATATATATACTTTGTTGGTCCTGACATGAGTATTTCGAGGAGTTACAAACGGAATGACAAAATTAGTATACCCTCCATAGTACGGTGGAGCCAAAATGTGAAAATTTTGGCGTTTGTCCTTGTTGCAGTTTTTTTATCTCACCCTGTATACCCTCTCTAGCCATATGGCTGATGGTATAAAAATGTTACAAAGAAAACATTAATGAATCCATATATAGAGCAAAATCCAGCCTTCGGTTATGAGGTCTCTGATGTAACTTTGTCCCATTTGGAAGATTTATACAAGGAAACTATCACCCTCATCAGCAGCGAGGTTTTAATTATACGATCGAAAAAATTTATCAACTTATCAAAATATTTTAGGAGTTTATGACGTTTTATACTTTTTCTACGTTTTATACAGTTATATGACGTTTTCGAAAAAAAAATGTTAAACGGACCATCTCTGGCCCCCATTTAACGCCACCTCCCGATTTTCCGTATTTTGAAGGTTTCTACCACAATTTCCAACGAAATTAGATGATAATGTGGGTTTCGCTATTTGGTTTATTCTTAATTTTAATTAAAGGATTGGCCAGAAATATACCTCTGTTAAATTTAGTGCAAATCGATTCAGATTATGATATAGTTCCCTTACATTATTATTTGGTTTGATATTTCAAATTTTAAACCATTATAGTTAGTATTATTTACTTCAAACAAGTTCTAAATATACATAGTGGTGTAGGGTATCAGTTTTTGAAAAACTTGTAGAATTTTTAATTTTTTTGACATTGTCGGATCTATACTCGTTTTTTTATTTTGCAATGAAGGCCATTTTCTCCCTATTATATATTTATGTCTCCAAATGGTTAACATTATTCGATTTTCATATATGTTGCTTGTAAGTGGATATATTCTTACATTTTTTTTCGTTGTCTTCCTTTGCTCCGACAAATCCCCAAGGATGTTATAAAAATCTTGTTTTAAAGCAAAAACACATGAAAAGGGGTATTGATTTTTCTGAACTAAAAAGTATTGGAAAATTCTTAAATTTTGTTACAAACGAAAAGTACATATACGCCTATTAAATACATTCGCTTTTTTGTTACATTTCAGCTGGCCGCTATGTGGTCCTATCAGCATCAGGAGATTTATACATTCGAACGGTGCGCACCGAAGATAGTTTGGTGAAATATTCGTGTCTGGTTACCAATACTCTGAATGGCGATAGACAACGCAGTGAGGCTGTAATGTTACAGGTCAAAGGTTAGTATTACATACACCCACATTTGGTTGAACACAAACGAACACACCTACACCCACATGGACACAGAGATATAGACATTTATGAGAACCCACATAGGTGGCAACTTCAGTGTTGCACAGCAACTAACGTGTTTTATTTCCTCTCGCTCTCTCTCTCTCTTTTTGTTGTTTTTATTGCAGAGCTTAGTAAAAACTTAGCGCCACGTACAACCCAAAAACCCGTTATGGACATCCATGTGGAGCGGGGCAATGATGTTCACATGCCGTGTAACATCCAAGGCAGTCCATTACCTATATTCACGTAAGTTGTTCGACATTTTTTTTGCGTTTTGAGTTTTGTGTTTGTTATTTTACTTTGTGAATTTATGATTGGTAGTATATGTGCATGTATGTGTGAGTGAGTGTGTGTGTGAGATGGGACTGTTTTTATGTTCGTTGTCTTCTCCCAATGGATTACCTTGCAAATATTTTAATGATGTCTGACTTCATTAAAGTTTATTGCACAAATGGATAAATTATGACGAGAGGGAATTCAAAATTTGATAAATAATTTTTGTTAGAATTGTGAAAATGTTTTTGTTTATTTGTTTTACATGGAAACTAATGTTGAAATGGAAAACTAACAACAGAACTATTCAAATTTGTTATATACATTTTGTAGGTTTTCTATTTCTATGTAACCATGTCCGCCCGTCTTTCTGTCCGCCTGTGGAAATCACTCTGGCTTTAGTTATATTTTTGAATTGGCAGATTGTTTTCCATATATATCTGATGAACGTTTTTGCAAAGAACATTTCATATAGATCCAAGTTTAGGTATGGTCCCCATATAACTGTACCCCTCCGATATTCGGTATCAGTTCGTAAAGGATATCACCCCCACTGACAGAAAATTGCTTATATAGGTCCAGGTCTTCATCTAACCCCCATATAACGGTACCTCCCTATACTTAGTATTTTGTTGATTTTTATCGGAATTATGTTAAATTTTTAATTTGGACCTCACAATGGGCAATACTTCCTATTAAAGAAAAATGCCTGTGCATGGCTTCTTATAGCCCTCTCAAGGTTGGTTTTTGGAGCTCGTAGTAAGCACCGTTCCCGCTGTCGTAGAATTGTCTGTAGAGTTCCACATTTTTTTATATATCCCCGTATTACTGTAACACCTTAAATTCTGAAGTTTTAAAATTTTAGCGGCATTTTCTGCAAACTTCTTCCAAATGGTGGAGGGTGTTAAAGATTCGGCCCAGCCGAACTAAACTGCGTTTTGACTTGTTCTCAGTAAATTTGAATATCTATTATTTACCTATCTATCTGAACTGAATCTTAAGGGTCATGGGATTCACTGATGGTGTGAGTTAAGGCGAGATTTTCGGAAATTCGTATATAAAGGGTACAAATACTACAAAAGTGAAATGAAACGGCACTGTTGTTAAGCGATCTTTTAAGGGTAGATCTTTGCAATTTTTAATGAGGATTATTCCCTTGCGGGGAAGGGAGTTGATGTGAGTAGTGATTTTTTTTTAATTATCTATCAAAGGTTAGAGTTACAGATTTATTTTATTATTTTATATGAGGGTGCCTCCCGTTATAGAAAACCAAAAAAAAAATGGTTTTTGGAAATCCATACTTCCTAGTGAGGACAGTGGGGAACAGTTGCCGGAACTATTGGAAATTTATTAGGTTGCAAAATGTACTTAAATGTGCAACATTGTTATGGTGCGAATTTTTACATTCATACGTCAGGGTTGCTAAAATAAAGGCAATGGTATAGGATTTTTATTCGGCGATTCATAAGCCAGGTCTTTGAAAATTTTCACGATCACCACGCTTAGAGTAGAGAACGAGAATAAGGCGTCGTTTTTGGGAATCTATTCTTCAAGGGTACGAAAAGTGCTAAAATGTAACTTTGAAATTTTACTTGAGAGAACAATATCATATTTCGGATTTTTTCGGAAATTTTTGGAATGTTTATGTGAACTGGTTTTTTTAAGGATTTAATAGTAGGTGTAGGATTAAGCTGCATCCTAAAAATACGGGTTTATCTGATACTAAATGGACCAAATGGTACTTAGTGTAGTTTAACTGTATCCATTGCGCGGGTAATGCTATATTCCTGAAATGTCGAATATAAAGGGAACATTAGGGACGATTTTTTTAAAAGTCCAATTACATGGTACTAAAAGTACTAGAAGGTACTAATTTGTGTACTGTGGTATTTAGGGAACTGTTAAAACAGAAACGTGGAAGAGGTCAAAGTTTTTGTTATGCTGTGATATTTTGCCAGCAAAAGGGTATTAGGGTGCTAAACGGTATCAAATTCTGTATTGGCATACTTTTACCCGGTCATGGAAAAAATCTGAGCTTTAAAGTACACATCTATAGCAATGTAATGCTGCAGTAGAATTCAGAAATGTGTTTTCGAAGTCGTTGTAAAAACGAGTTACAACTGTAAGGAATTCTGATATTTTTACTTAGCAAAGGTTCAATAGGGGCTGAATTAGTTGAAAGTGAACTAAAAGTGTACTAAAAAGTACTCAGAGCTATACAAAGGGAATAGCGAACGGTTAACTTGTGAGATTTAGAAGTTGGGTTACTATTGGTGTACAACTGTTAAAGATGTTGAAATTTATCGAAGTTCGACCTATAATGGCTATAAACTGAATTAATGGTACCATATACTGGTGTGGGAATTGCATTGGCAATGTAGAATTACAATAAGGATGTGTTAAAAAAATGTGTACATAAAGTACTAACTGTTACTATATTTGGTACCATTCATATTGGGTTAAAGACTTAATAAAGCTGGAATCTGGAAATTATGGACATATGCAATTGTTGGTGCTCAGACTCGAAATGAGACATTTGAAAATACCATGCATTCATGTAAAAACCAGTTAAGAAAGTCTTTATGATACCCTACACCACTTTGCTAATTTAGTAGAGCTCCGGATAACAGTTAAAAGTTTTTATGGGAGAATTCAATCATACATGCTATGATTATAATTATAATTTAAAGTTCAAAGGACTAAATATGCCGAAGCATTTGTATCTTTTAAATTCGGACTTGTATTGCCCATTTGGTGCACAATTAATTTGAAATCGGATAAAGATATATATGGGAGGTATATCTAAATCGGAACCGATCTCCATAAAATTTTGCAAAGATATTTCTGAGCTGTATGTGATATATTTCCCTGAATATCGTTGTTACGGAGTGCATATTACGGCTGTTGGTAACAAATATAACAAATCGGATGAACAGTTTATATGGGAGCTATAGCTATATCTGAACCGATATTCACCAAATTTGACATACTAGCTTCTAGACTAAATTCGGGAGCTATATCCAAAGCTGAACCGATCTCGATAAAATTTGGCAAATGTATTTCTGGGCTGTATTCGATATATTTCCCCAAATATTGTTGTTACAGAGTGCATATTACGGCTGCGGAGGACAAAAATAACAAATCGGATGAACAATATATATGGGAGCTATAGCTATATCGTAACCGATTTCGATCGAATTTGGCATACTTATTTTTAGGTTTGGGATTATGTGCAAAATTCCATACCATTCGGGATGATATTATACGTTTGGTGTACAATAAAAGGCAAATCGGACGGAAGATATATATTGGAGCTACATCTAAATTTTGATCGATTATCTCCAATTTCAATAGGGTTAGTCCTTGGGCCAAACAATTGATTTGTGCAAAATTTCATCTGGATATGGCAATAATTGCGAACTGTACTTTGTTTACCAAAGTTCATGGAATTGAATTGAATTCATGAAATTGAATTGGAATTGAAAATGAGATATATCGGTCCACGTCTTGGTATAGTCCCCATATAACGGTACCTCCCGATATTCGGTATTTTGATGATTTTCTCCACATTTTTCCACGGATTTGTTAAAAAACTGGTTTATGTGGGTCATAATCGGTTCTAGTTTCACTGGCGGAACCTTACATATATAGGTCCACGTTTTCGTATAGCCCCATAAAACGGTAACTCCCGCTATTCGATATTTTGATGATTTCTGCCGCATTTTTCACGGCTTTTTCTTAAAATTTGTATATGTAGGTTATAATGGGTTCTAGCCCCGGTGGTCCATTTTTTCCTGTAGCCGCCATATAATGGTCATATTTACCCACGGAAGTTTTCAAATTTGGCATTTAAGGCTTGGAATAGATAACAATTCTTGTGGTATAATGTTGTCTAAATGGGTACCCTTTTTGGTATAGCCCTCCATATAACGGACTCACTCACATTGTTTTTTTTTTTTGAAAAGTTTAACTGCAACGATGTTCGGCCCGGCCGAACTTAATGTTTTTATACTTGTTAATTTTCATAATTTTAAAAACAGCTTAAATACTAGAAATAAATTTATTTATTTTTTATTTTAAAGCCGCTTAGTCCCGTACTTTGTATAAAAGTAGGCTATGAATTATCTTAGCTAGTTTAATTAACAAAATTGTTACCCTAATTAAAACGTTTATCAGTATCCACCACAATTATGTCCCACAACAATCTTTCTAATAAAGTCATTGAATTCAAATCTCTATATCCTCCCCTCACTCTGCTAAATATATACATGTAATAACCCCAAAACATATGAACACGAAATCAATAAACGCTACTTAAGCATAATCTGTCGCACATATTTTTCCTATCCGCAGAAGTAACAACAGCAAAAAATTGCTACATTTCTTGGATTTTGTTATGCCAGGCACGCATTCCTCTATAATCACACAAAAAGGAAATAGTTAAATTCTTAGGTATGTGTGTGTTAATACACATACGTGTGTGCACACTCACACACATTCCACACATGATTTACACATGTATTAAAGCATATCCTTGAGGACGGCTTGACTTTAACTTCCTTGTTTGCTTTTAATTTTAACGCTTATCATTTCGGTGGGGCACTTTTCCATCAGCGCCAACGCCATCATCACCGTAGTCGTTCTCGTCGTCATGGCAGGCAGCTTCAACAACATATTTTCTGAGATTAAATATCTTGCCCATGGGGAAATGTGGCTGAATGAGCGTATGCCTACGTTATCCCCTTCGTGTTATAGACCAATTTTAGGGTTCGGTTAATACTGCTGAACGAGTAGCATATTTAAGGAATTTTAATGAGTTAGTTTTTAGGCAGCCCATTGGATTTACAGAGGCTTTAATAAAATGCTGAAGAAGTGATATTGGTGTGACATTCACGTGATTTCAATCAAAATGTAATTTTTAGAGAACCGAGTCAGTGGAAAAAGTGAAAACACCACGAAAAAGAATAACATTTTTTTGTAAAAGAGAAGTTGGTATTCTCATAGAATAGCAATAAAAATTAAATTACAGAAGAACAAGAGGAATTAATTTTCTTATTGAAGATTAAGATATAAAAGAAAGATGTATCCTCTTTATTAAAACCTCATGCCTACTCATATAAGACGGATGGGACTTCTCGTAGAAGACCAAGGGCTCTTCTCATGGAATATAAAAGGTCCTCTTGTAGAAGTCCAAGGGGTGTTCTCATTAGATGTAGATGTATCCTCTTTATTAAAACCTCTTGCCTTCTCATATAAGACGGATGGGACTTCTCGTAGGGTGTTGTCATAGAAGACCAAGGAGTCGTTTTATAGAAGACTAAAGAAGTCTTTTAGTAAGGGTCTTCGCATAGACGTCTTTTATAGAAGTCTAAGGGATCTTTCAACAGCGGAAATAGGAATATTTTCATAAAAGACCGATGGATCGTCTCATAGACGACCAAGGGATTTTCTCATACAAAAGCAAGAAGCCCTCTCTTTAAAGACCAGAGGTCCTCTCATAGAGCACCAAAAGTTCCTCTCGTAGGAGACCGAATATTATTCTCGTAGAAGACCAAGAAGTCTTGTAACGTGGTTTTCTCGTCGGCTGAGGTAAGCTCAGCTGTACCCAGGGTCTCCATAAGGACGCACTAAACCTTATGAAATAATAAGAGTAGATTTCTCCCTTTCCTGGGGGTAAAAATCGGATGTTTTATTGATATTTAATGCTAAATTACAATCTACTCGGATTGAAATACGAAAAGATAAAGATGGAATATAGAATGACAAATGGACTTCGGAGGTGTTCGTGAATTCAAAGTAATGATGTTTAATTGATGATCGGGATTCGATGTTTACTCGTATTCTAGTCAAGAGGGTGTATGACTCGTGGACAATCCGGAATCGCGGTGTTGCGTTCGGGTGACATTCGAGTTGACGATTTGAAGGTTATCGAGAACTTGTGGTCGTCGGTTGTCGACGATCAGGAATAACGATGTTTGTGTTCGGGTGAAGGAGGTTGTTGACGATTTGAAGGCAATCTGGAACTTGTGGTCGTCGGTATTCGACGATCAGGGATTACGATGTTTCTGTTCGGGTGATGAGGGTTGTTGACGATTTGCAGATAATCGGGAACTGGTGGTAGTCGGTTGTCGACGATATGATGGTTGGCACGTGGACGTACAGGGAGACAGATTGGCGACCTGTGGTATACAAGCTAGCAATTCACAGGGGAGATCCTCGGAAGAAGCTGTCCAGGTCTTTGTAGGAGGATTGAGGTATGTTTGGGTTCGACAGCTTGTTGAGGGTAGATATGGTAACCGATGCGTTAGGCTTTGTAGATGGATCGGGGCTCGTTCGGGTTCGGCAGCTCGGGTTTTGTTATTTGGGTCGTCTACAGGATCGTGGTAACTAGTCATGCTACGGTTTATAACTACGGCTACTCTACTACCAATATTTGACTATAATAAGCTAGCCGAAATTCCTGTGGAGCAGCGAGCCGAAGCCCCTGTGGAATAGCGAGCCGAAGCTCCTGTGGAACAGCGAGCCGAAACTCCTGTGGAACAGCGAGTCGAAACTCATGTGGAACAGCAAGCCGAAGCTCCTGTGTGAATGAATTACCGGCCACTCAACTTAATGAGAGCCAGTCTTGGAAAAAGTATTCCCGTCTAACGCTTTGTTACTCGGAGGACGGCAGAAATCATTAGATCATGTGAAGACCATGTGACTTTTGCTCTTCTATGAGAAGAAGACCACCTGTGCTCTTCTATGAGAATAAGACCACTTGTGCTCTTGTGGTCTTTTAAAATCTTCTTATTAAGGATATCCTGAAAAGCAAACGCTGGTGTTGGGAAGGACATTCAATGCTTTCAGGAAATTTCATATATTTTGTCGCGTATGAATAGTAGACAGTCGATACTCCTCTTTCGACAAAACAACTGATACTTACTAACTTATTCTTAGTAAAAAAGGATATTTCATTGAGAAAATCATAAAACTATTACTGAGATTAGAAATTCGTTCCACTTGAATAAACCAAAAAAGAAAATGTTTCTAAATGATTTTCAAAATAGCCAGAACCTATTACCCTCTCTTTGTTATTAAATTTGTTTCCTTGGGATTCATTGTTCGCAAAATGAAATTCATTGCATACAAAAAAAATTGTATCATCATCCAATACTGTTGTTCCAATGAGATTTTTAGGGATTATTTATATTGCCTTAAAATATACCTTACTCCTTGACTGCCGGCTTGCCCGCCTGACATTGTGACCGCCCGTACAATCGATCCACCCAAGGCAATGATTTTCTAAAAGCAATTTCACGTAAAAGCTTACATTGTCAATAATCTGTTATGAATATTGATTTCCATTACGGCAGGATTACCGAAAATCCAATGCCTCTGTAATTTCCTCGTTCGTAACAAAAATACACCCCCCTTCCCCGCCTCCTTGTATCAAGAGAGCATATTTTTAAAACCAATTTAAACATATCATAGCTCAATTACCATAAAAAAGCATATTTTTTACCCTACCACAGCCTCCTCCTTCCCCTACGTCGGCTCCTCGACATTACAAAGCAAACACTCAACATTGGCTAAGATGGAGTAATTCATGATTTTCATACTTCAGTGCTTATCTGTATGGGTGCAGGAAATTGGTTATACTCGCCTGGCTTGTATGCATGTGTGTGTGTATGAGTGTGTTTGTTTGCAGCATGTTTGTTTTGTACTCTATTCACTTTTCGTTTTTTTTTTTTATTTTTGTTCAGCATCATTTTCCACTTGTTTTCCTTCTACTTCTTAAATGTTTTTTTTTTTTCCTTCATTCGCTCTGTGTTGCTTTCATTGCAGATGGTATCGTGTATCGGATTCATCAGCCCTGTATCCAATACCATCGTCACAGCGTGTGATATTATCCCGAACATTGTTGCTTATCAAAAATGCTGACGAACGTGATGCAGGCAAATGGGTGAGTATGAATGGGAATAAAATGTGAAGTGGTAAAAATGAATGAGCCAGAAACCAACCGGAGGATATTGTTGCGCCATACAAAGTAGGTTGGATAGGATTCGGCTGCGAGTGGCGGGAATAGATGTTTTGGGCCCTCTCCGTGTGTGTGTGTGGACTGTTTTCTATTCGAACGTCTAAATGAAGCGGATGTCGAAAACACATTGCATTGCACAGAGTATTACAACATTTTAGTTCTATTTTTCTTATGGCTGTCGTTGTCACCACCTCTTTCTCCTCTGGCTTCGAAGGAAGGAAGTAAGTCAATGTATTTACAAATGTGTTAGCATGTATTGAGGACTTCCATGTAGGTGTGGGTACTGAGTATGGGTGTCTCCGTGTTTGTGTGTATGTGTTTGAAACACAAGTACTTAGTGAAGTACAGAGACAGTTTCAAGTGTTTTAAACAGAGTACACGGATGTCGCAGAAAACCGAGGGAAAATAACTGACAGACAGTGTGCATCATCAAGTATTGGGGCTCCTAGTGCAGGATACAGTACTCTATGAAATTATTATGACATTTGTATGTTTTTTTATTTTGTTCGACATTTTCGAAGGAAGAAAACCATAACTAAATGTCAGAAGTTGGGCGGAGCCAACTATATGATGCCCTAAACCACTATACATATTTAGTAGATCTACCTTTAACAAATAAACTTTTATATTGAAAATTTATGTGAAGCAGATCATACCAACTATAAACCAGTTATAATTTGGAATCAGAAGAAACTAAATTATTGGGGGCATTTCCAACACTGAATCGATGTCAACATTGCTATAAAGTGCATGATATGACTTCGAGAAGGACTATATTAAATAAATTGATATCGAAGCAATAGATATATAGGAACCGTTTTTCGCCAAATGAAATTTAGTAAAATGTGAAAAAATCCATCCAATTTTGGCTGATATTAATCATATGGGAGCCATATCCAAATCTGAGCCGATTTTGATAAAATTTGGTAGAGTTATTTCTGAGCTGTATTTTTAGCGGATACCATTGTTTTGGATTACATATTGCGAATGTGAGGGACCTCAACACCAAATGTGATGAAATACATATAAGATATAGCTACTTAACCAATTTTCACCAAATTCGGAGTTCTTGCTTCTATACTTAATTCTGTCGTACGTGCCGAAATCCGGCCCATTTGGATATTGCACAAAAAGTGGAAATCGGACGAATATGGATATGGAAGCTTTATCTAAATTTTGGGCCGATTACCAGGAATTTCAAGAGAGTTCGCCTTTGGGTCAAACAAATGACCTGCGTTAAATTTAACTTAATTGGACATCAAATGTTACCTGCATTTTGTTCACAAAAAGACATGAACGAATGGACATACGGGCGAACCTCCGAAAATCGAGTCAGGAATCGATTTTATAAAGGTCATCCAAAGGAACTTTCTCGTCTCCTTCTTCATGTTATAAAATAATGCACAAAGACATTAAGTAATGTCCTCCGACTTACTAATGGGAGTTCAAAACCAAACGTCAAGAAAGTGGACGGAAGAAAACAGCAACATCAGCAGAAATGGTTCGAAAAGTTAAGAAGCGACTTGATCGAAACCCGCGTCGCAGTAACCGAAAAATGGCTTGTGAGCTGAACACGTCGCAATATTCCATTCGGCAAAAATTTAGAAAAATGAGCTCGGGGTAAAGCCATTGAAATTCCAAAAAGTGCAAGAACTTAAACTGCAATAGAAAGAAAATAGACTCAAAAGAGTTAAGAAAGTGGTGAACTGCCGAATTTGGTTTTCCCCGATGAGAAAATTTTCGTTGTCCAGCAGTTTGTAAACAAACAAAATGATCGTGTTTACTTGCCAAAGAGGTCAGCTGAAAATGTGCACCTTCGGTTGGCCTCCAAAACTCAAGCGGCGGCCATGGTGATGGCGTGGGCTGCCATAGCAGCCGATGGTCGCTCTCTGCTCGTATTAATCGACCGTGGAATCAGAATAAATGCCGAATATTATCGCGAAAATATTCTGGAGGGTGTATTTATGCCTTGGACACGCAAACATTTTTGCCGCAGACCTTGGTCATTCCAACAGGACTCAGCACCATCGCACTCAGCACGGTTACAAAATGAGGTTCCTCCCTTTATTTCCAGCGCACAATGGGCACCAATATCTCCGGATACCAATCCGTTGGACTATTGTGTGTGGAGTATTTTGAAATACAAGGTTGGCACTAAAAAATACCAAAGTGTCGATCACCTCAAGCAAGCGCTTCGCGGAGAATGGGCCAAAATACCACAGAGCAACATTCGGGTAGCGTGTGACGGTTTCATTGGCCGTTTGAAGGCCATAATTCGTGCCAAAGGTAACCACTTCGAACAAGTCTAAGCTTATTCTAAAATTTGATTCTATTTCCGACATTTTTTGCATTCAATAAAATTTAATTAATAAAAAAAACGTTAAAATTATGGCGTTGCATTTTTTTATCTCACTCTGTATAATTTGTTGGGTCTGACATAAGTATTTCAAGGAGTTACAAACGGAATGACGAAGTTATATTTTTTATGTGTTTTCATCCCGGTGTCACTACCCGTCCATCTTGTCCTCTACCTGTTTATATCACATTCCGGACATTAAAAAACTCCTGCTTAAGGCCATGTGATCTGGAAAATTCACCGAACCAGAAGATCCCTGGGAAAAAAAGTTTCTCAGCCATAGTCGTTTCCAAGTTGCTTACTTTAGTCCTGATCAACACCTTGTAAGAATGGCTAAGCGCTAATTAGTTTTTGAGTAACGTCATTGCTATCTCACCATTCCCCATATAAACGCCCCCTTAGTAACTTCAAGCCTACAAAATGCACAGGTAATCTGTATATGCACAAAACTTGAAGACCGCGGAATATTCCATCAAACGAGGCAGGTCCTATAATACAAGAATATTAATAAAAAATCCTAACTGTCCTAAGCTGTTGCCCTACTACGGCCTTAAGAAATCCTTACTCATAGATTTGTTATAACATTTTTAATAGGGCTAGACGCTTCTGTTGATCTCAACCTACTTATTGACTCTTTTATTCTAACCCACTGAATATGGTCTATAATGTAGCCCATCAGGATTTTGGCTTGCGATTCCAAATCTCTTTCGAATGAAACCGTTTGATTCATTTGCAGTTAACCTAGCCACGTCCGATCATTATTATGAGAATTTTTTCCAATTTCAGGCTTATTTTGAAGACAGAACGGGTGCTACACGTTTTATGGTCTCTACTCTATTAATACCAACATTTTGAATGATAAATCACATATAAAAAAATTCGGGCGGGCCGACCTTTTTACACCCTACACCACAATTCATATTTAGTAGAGATAGCCCTCTTACGCTTTGGAACATTTTAAATTTGAAAACGGATGGAAATATCATGCTGATGTGTTACCTTACTCCTTATCGATGCCAACTAAGGGACTGCCATGGACACTTATTATATCTTTATTTAAATCATTTATCTGTTAAATCATTGCTCATTGTTGTCCAGTCGGCTTTTTTGTTGTAAGTTTTTTGTTGTATCCTCAAATCATATTTTCTCTTTAAGTTCACTGTTTCTGGCTGCAATGAAAAATATATTTGCAAACTGCATCCATCATTTTTGGGTTATGATACTGTAAACGCCTTTCTTAGCAGACTCCATTTCTTCGCCGCATTGTTGGAAATAGAAAAATGTGCGGGTACGTTTTGAATTTGTTACATTTGCCTGGGATTGTTCATATTCTAAATTGATTTAAATTCAAGTAGATTTTTATGACAACAATGAGTATCATTGCCGAGGTTCTCATCTCCTGCTGTTGCTTCTACTTGGCTGCGTTGATGCCAGTGTGTACGATGGGATGGCATCATCGCTGCCGTCATCGTTATCCAACCAGCCAACCAACCAACCCGCCAACCATCCTTTGTGCCTTTTTCAACATTTCAAGTGGAGACATAATGAAGAACAATTTAAATTTGCATAAATTCGATTCAAATTTATTTATCTTTTACATTTCCCTTTCAGTCGATCATTAGAGTGTCTTTATGTGCATTTCGTTGAACAAATTTGCTTCCTCTTTTGTTTTTTTTATTCTCTACGAGTATTTTGTGTGTGTTGGTTTTTTTTGCGTTTATGTTCCACTCCCTCAGTTGACTTTTCCGTACTTATGTCAGATATGTTGTTGAGTGGTGATTTCCTCTGAATTTTGCTATTTATGAAAATGGAATGGTTTTTTCTATTTATATTTGTCATAGAATATGAAATATAATGAAATGGATGGAAAGAGAGTGACACAGAGAGATTATGATGATGATGAAATAAAAATTAACATAATAAAAGTCATTTCCCCGATTGACTAGATAATGGCGATAAAATCGAATAATAAATGATGTGAGCAAAAATGTCACAAGTGAATACAAAATGAGAGTAGTTATTTAGTTTTTAAACTAGAACTCATTGTTAGTGTCAATAATTTTCACCCGGCATATAGCTTGAGTTGCAGCTGGGTGTAAAATAAATTTTTTGGGGAATACTCAAATATAATATCAGATTGGCCCAATCTGCTCAGATACGAAAGTCTGTCAATTGAAGTTACATTAAGACTTCGTCGAGAAGTGCAGGGGAAGTTTTTTTGAGCTGTTCGAACTCTATTTAAAAGAGTTAATCCATCAACTATATCATTTCCTATATAGTCCATACGTTTCAAAAAACACAAATAGATGTAAAGCAAATATATAACAGTATTTGAATGGAATTCAAAGAAAAATGTCATATTTTGGATAAATGGTGGATATATACTTCGATGTCTATTGAATAATGGTACGCTGTTAATAATGAAATTTAATTTTAACGTAATGAACACAGAAAGAAATGTCGCAGACCCAAATGAAAAGAAATTACCATATGTCCTTCAGGTATTCCATTTTTAAGGTCGTAAATCGATATACAGTTTTCTTCATGAGGGACGGATAAGATGCTTATCGACAAATATCTTAAATTTGCAAATACTTTAATCAATTTTGTATTGAAAATTAATAAATACAATTCGTTGTTGATTAATGGCGTAGTTTATACCTGACAAGTGACGTGACTCTGTGCTTCGAATTAACATTTCTTGTTTGATAATAAAAATTTGATTTTTTATTTTGTCTGGATGTCCTTGTTTCTCCTTACAAATCTTTTTTGTTTTTGGTCAGAGGGTTATTTAAAAAAGGTAAAACCAACAATTTTTTTTGTCTGAAAATAATTCTTAATAGTCGGAAAAGAATTGTTCATTTAGTCGGGAGGACTTAACAATTTTATAAAAACAAGTAACAAAGCAGTAAGCTTGTCCGGGCCGAACTTTTCTTACCCTCCAACATTTGGAGAGAATTCGAAAACTAAAAAAATACGTTGAAAAATAACGTGGACCTACCTAGGCTAGTTTTGTCATAGGCCATTACAATATTAATAATGTGGCTAAAACAATCAAAATACCGAATATAATGAATTACCGAGAACGTGGATCTGTGTAGCCAATTTTCTGTCACAGACTTCAGTACCCAAAACGAACTACATATGCGATATTCAAAACAATTCCGGCGAATAATGTCGCTAAAATCATAGAAATATCGAATTTAGGTAGGTACCGTTACATGGAGGCTATATATTTTCAGACAATGCCATTTAAATATTTGGCTACAATCACCAAAATACCGAATAAGGTACCTCCTGTTATATGGGGGCTATACCAAAACGTGGACCTACATGACCCATTTTCAATACTAAAAGTCCTGCAGAACAAACACACATGTAAAATTTTATCAACTTACTTCAATTTGTTCGGAAGCTAAATTGATGTCCACAGACGGACAGACAGACGGACTAAATCGACATAGAATTTAATGCTGATCAAGAATATATCTGTCTTTTCGTTGTAATTACCCTATTCTTCGAACGAATTCAGATAGAAGTCTAACATTTTGCAAGCTCATAGATGGACCATGTTGGTTCAGATTTTCGATAGTCCCTATATAATTGTATCTCGCGATATTTTGCATTTTGATGATCTAAGTCAGAATTGTTTAAAATTCGGTACTTATGGTTTGTAACGGATTCCACCTCTTGTGGCATAACATCGCCTATATAGGTTCACGTTTCGCTAAAGATCGGTACTTGTTTCCTGATATTTTGTGTTCTGAAGATTTTAGCAAGTTTTTAAGGGACATTTTTTATACCCTCCATCATAGTATTAGCTTTGTCATTCCGTTTGTAACACCTCGAAATATACATTTTAGACCCCACATATTCTTGATCAGCATAAAATTCTATGTCGATTTAGCGATGTCCGTCTATCCGTCTCTGGAAATCATTCTAGCTTCCGATCGAAATGAAGTAGATTGATAATTTTACTTAAATGTATATTATGTCTGCAGGACTTTTGATATTGAAAATGAGCCATGTATGTGCACGTTTTGGTATAGCCCCCATATAATGGTACCTCCCTATTTTCGATATTTTGGTGATTTAGCGAAATTATTCACTGGAATTGTTTCACATTTGGCATTTGAGGTTCGTAATAGATACTACAGCTTAAGACAGAAAATTGTCGGTGCAAGTCCACGTCTTCCTATTATTCTATTATTATTCTTGTTAAGCTTGGCCCGGCCGTACTTACAGCTATTTTACCTGCTAATATTTGGTTTGTAGACTTTGTAATAGATAATCTCTTTTGTGCCAGAAAACTACTAGAATAGGCTCATTATTGTTTTGTTTGGCCAATCATAATCACTGAATATTTGGTATTTTTATGATTTTAGCAACATTTTTAACAGCTGTTTTTTTTTTTTTAATTTGGAATTTGAAAGTTGGTACCATCGGCTTTACGGCATTTTTTTTTAATCTAAACAATCGAAAGCATTTCTTCTGTTAATGCAATGAAAATATATAAAAATCTTACAATGCAACATTTTGTCTGGAGTTATAAAAAGAGAATTTTATAAGAAATCCACGATCACGGTCAGACGTTTGCCCATTAAAAAATTTAAATTTGCCATAAATATCTAAAGTTTCTGGTTGGAAGAATCATGGTGCTTAAAGACATTTTTATAAAAAAAGAAACACGATTCTTGTTAAGAAGTTCATATAAAAACTTTTCAAAAACAACCAAGACTTTTGTCCGAAAAATCTCATGATTTTTAAGAAATTTTATAGAAACAAACTAGGTCATGGAGTTCTTAAGTAAACCACTAATGTGATTCAGAAGGTTCTTGAAAAAATTTTCAGAAAATCCTGGTCTTAAGCTTCTTGATATTTTTTTTTCAAAAATTCATAACTTTTAATTTTTTTGTCGGATTATTTTTTTAATAAAATGAACTTTGCAAATATGACAAATGTTTAAAAAAAACATGACATTTTTTAAGTCCACAATTTTTTACAAAAAGTCCTTTAAAAAATTGACAACTTTTTCCAAGAGTTTTTGAAAAAATGTTCGCCCTTGGAGAGAAGGAAGTCTTTTAGAAAATGTTCCTAAAAGATTTAAGCCTAAGTCTTAAAAATTCTTAAAAAAATCATGATTAGAGATCTTGAGGTCCTTAAAAAATATTAGAGAAAAATTCATGATTTCTAGACGAAAAAAAAATTATCAAAAAAATAAAATGAAATAAATAAATAAAAATCAAAAATATTTTTTTTTTTATAATTTATTCTTTTTCTGTGGACCAATGTTGCCCAGAAGGTGAAGACCAATATGCCCATCGTCGAACTCGATCTAAGCTTCATATTAATATAACAACGCACCAAGATTGAACTAAAATAGATACTCCCATCGAGGACAGACAGACACCACTTAATTGTCTTCAAGGATCTAAACCCGTTATTTCGTTTTGACCGTAATGATCCACTATAGTCCACTATAGCAATTCAGGAGGTTCTTAAAAATATATCCCAGAAAATCCTGGTCTTTTAGTCATGGGTTCTTGATAAAAATTTAGATAAAGACATGACAAAATAAAATTAAAAAAGAAATTCCTTAAAATTCTAGATTTGATTTGATAACAAAAAATATATGCACTTTTGAATAAGGCGGTTCTTAAAAAATTGTAAGTTTTTTGGTCAGTGTGTATTGGAAATATGTCTTAAAAATCCACGACTTTGTATCAGGAGGTTTTTGAACCAATATCCCTTCAAATGTTCAATTTGTGGTCAGGAGGCATTAGAAAAAAAATGATTTAAAGTCCACGATTCGTGTCCACGAATACCAAGCATAAAATATAGAAAATTTGAGAAAAATCTATGAAAAAACTAAAATAGAAATAAAATTTTTTCCCGTTTGTAGGGGAATGGACCGATACATTTTGTTTCAACATCTACCCTAAGATAGGCACACACATACTAAGTTTTTTTTTCAATCATTTCGACCCGTTTGGGTGAGGTACCAGTGTGAGTTGATCGCTATAGCCCGCCTAATATTTGCGGGAAAAGAAGAGAATTGGAGGAAGAAAGAAGGTTTAAAACCGGACATTGGTTTCATATCTCATGACAGTTCTTATTACTGTTCAAAATTGCGATCCTTTTTTGGAAGGGAGTGGAGGCATGGAGACCTGATTTTCTCATTTTCTGCGACATGTATTAGTGTGATAGAAAAATACGATGTGCTAAGCGGGGACATGTTAGGATACTCGTTTCGCTTTATACGAGACATATTTTTCCTTTTCTTCAACATTTTGAACTTAGGATAGGAATCGGAAGAAGTGACCTTTAGATACCATTGGAAATTTTTTTCTTGATCAACATTTAAAATAGCGACAAATATCAACATGAAATTATGTTTAACTTCAAAACCACTTCCATTTATATTTTCAAGAAATCAATTATTTTACCTCAATTAAAAATCTGAAATCAAAAACTTTGTAGACAATAACTGTAACTTTGGTTCAAAATTCATTAGTCCTCTACGTCAAACTAAACAATTCAAAACAAAAAAAATCCAACAAGTCACATTTCTATACAAATTGAAATATTTGATTTATTCATATTGAAACTATCAAAAACCGCAATTTTATATTTGATCATTCATTCAGCCGTGCCAGTCAGACAGGCAGGCAGTCAGTTTGTCAGTCAGTCATTCTGCAATTCATTGACTCTCATTCGTTTCATGATGTTTTATTTTGTTCTTATATTCTGCCGTTTTTGTTTTGTTTTATTTTTAGGTCTGTCAAGCATCAAATCAATTTGGCGAACAGCGAATTGAAATTCGTTTATTTGTGAATTCGTATGTATCCGTCCACATACTGCCACAAGTTCAAATTGTCAATTCGGGCGGAACGGCAATTTTCAATTGTTCGACAACGGGTTCGGCGATCGATAACATCGAATGGTTGCACAATGGCAAGCCGTTGCAGGAGGACAATATTCTAACCACTGGACGTGATAAGTAAGTACAGTACGAGAGAGTGGAGAGGAAGAGAGTGTGTGCATTGTGTGTTTGTATGAGTGAGAATGGATGGCTGGATGTATGAAAGCATTTAAAACTAAATATCAATATAGACATAACATAAATGTGTAGCTATATGTTTTACGGCTGTGTTATATGGCTTATGCCATTTTATCTTTATATAGACAGTTCACAGACTGAAATGTACACACACAACGACATGTGTGTGTATGTAAATGAGTGAATATTTTATATAAACAAAATGCTTTATGAAGGCACATGGTTTGCAATTTATGCATTGTTGTTGTATTTATATCGGAGTATCGAAAATTAGTTTTGTTAATAGGTTTTTATACAGTTTGTAGTCGGTTTGCGACCGATTTATACTCTATACTGGGAATCATTGTTATGTCTATAAAGACATATATTTTGGTATAATTTACAAGATGGAGTGAATATTCTTCAAATATCCTCTATATTTTGCAGCGTGTCGTTTGAAAAACATATCTCGAATAAGGGAAACAACTATCAAACTTTCAAAGATATATTCCCAACAGATTCATAATTTTTGTCCTGAATGACCTTTTAAAAATTTTTCTTATCTATAAAAGATTTTGGTCCGTTGACCTTTTAAAAAACATTATCAAGAAGAGAAGAGGTTTTAACATTTTTTTTAAAAGCATTCAAGATTTTTACCAAAATGATTTTTCAAAATTCCATGAGTTTTCAAAAAAATCTTTCAACTACAATTCATAACCAGTAAGGAAAAGTCAAAAGTCGGGCGTGACACCACTATACATATTTAGTAGAGCTCCCGTAACAAATTTGAAGATCATCCCACCTATCAACATTTGGCTTTAGAGCAGTTATAGTTTGGATTCAGAGGGAGATTTGCACTAAATTCACTCCATTTGGGCTGTTATTAGCCATTATTTGCATAGTAAACATGACATCCGGTAAAGCACAAATCTTAGCCGTTCTTGGGCTGTTGTAGCTGATATAAGGTACCAAATATCTTTGTTGTCGTATGCATATTATGAATGTGAGGGACTAAAACACCAAATTGGATGAAACCTATATATGGGAGCTATAGCTATATCTGAACCGATTTTCTAATTCGAAGTACTTGTTTCTAGACTGAATTAGGTCGGATATGCCAAAATGCAGGTCATTTGGACTAATATTCACTATTTGGTGCACAATAACCTTTAGTCGGATAAAAATATATATGGGAGCTATATCCTAATCTGATTTGATCGAAACCCGTGTCGCAGTGGTCGAAAAATGGCTCGTAAGCTAAACATATCGCTATATTCCAAATATTGAAAAATGAGTTCGAGGTAAAGCCATTAAAATTCCAAAAAGTGCAAGAACTTACACCGCAACATCATGAAAATATACTCAAAAGAGCTAAAGAGTTGCTTCGCTTGGCCGAAAGTTGTGAACTGCCAAATTTGGTTTTCTCTGATGAGAAAACATTCGTTGTCCAGCAGCTTGTAAACAAACAAAATTATCGTGTTTACTTTCCAAAGAGGTCAGCTGAAAATGTACACCTTCGGTTGACCACCATATCCCAAGAGTCGGCCATGGTAATGGTGTGGACCGCCATAACAGCCGATGGTCGCTCTCTGCTCGTATTAATCGACCGTGGCATCAGAATAAGAGCCGAATATTATCGCGAAAATATTCTGGACACGCAAACACGCAAACATTTCGGCCGCAGACCTTCGACATTCCAACAGGACTCAGCACAGCACTCAACACGCGCCACCCAAGAATGGTTATTCATTTCTAGCGCACTATTGCCACCAAAATCTCCGGATACTAATCCGTTGGAGTATTTTGGAAAGCAAGGTTGGCACTTAAATAAAATAAAGTGTCGATCACCTCAAGCAAGCGCTTCGCCGGGAATGGGCCAAAATACCGCAGAGCAACATTCGGGCAGCGTGTGACGGTTTCATTGGCCGTTTGAAAGCCATAATTCGTGCCAAAGGTGACCAATTCGAACAAATCTGAATTTATTCTAAAATTTGATGCTATTTCCGAATTTTTTTTGCTTTCCTTCAATAAAATTAAAAAAAAAAAAATTATGGCGTTTGAATTTGTTGCAGTTTTTTATCTCACCCTGTATATCCAAACCTTCAATCAAGATATATAACGCCATGCCCTAAATCTTTACTAGATTTGTCATGAAGACATCTCCATATTTTGATGGAAAAAATTTTTATTTTAGAGACCAAATTCATGAAGTATTTGATGTTAAAAAGACTCTCGAGGAACCTCTCTAATCTCATCTTCAGCAATCGCGAGATTTTGAGTCAATCTAGGATTATATCAAAATTCCTTATTTACATTCGTTTAACCAATAATCACGAAAGAAAGTGGTTGTGGATAAGAAACGTATTTTGCCGTTTTAACTTTTCTATTTTTCTCAGGAAATTAATGCTTACTGTGTAAATATTCATATAGGGTAAGTGCGCCTTAGTTCGGCATGTCCCAGTAGTCGGCAGTTTTGAAATTTAAACTTAAATAACTAAGAATAGAATTGACCAAATAAAAAAAAAAATTGCAAAAAAACGTCAACAGTGTTATCTGCTCTCTTTCTGTAAAAGAGCAATTAGCTCCAATTATTTATTACAAGAGAATAACGGTTTTCGTCAATGAGTATCTTCCAACGCGTGCGAGAGTGGTTGTTTGTAAAGAAAAAATTAGTGGTGGCGTCAACTTAATAATCGATTTAAATAAATTAAATTTAATACTTTTGGAATCAGAAATATTTTATAATAGTAAATAAGAGTCTAAAGACCATTTTATAACTTAAAAAAACATACAAATCAAGCATTTTTCTGTTATATTATTTAATGCCGACATTAGGAACAGAAAAAAAACTGATTTGCCAGTAGTCGTCAGGGGGTGCCGATTAATAGAAAAATATCATTTTTGGCCAATTTTACCAAAACTTGAAGAAAGTATTAAAAAATAATCAAAAACTACTCAAATAAAATAATAGTTTTGAGTCGGCAGTTGCTTTTATTTTTGCTTTTTAACCAACTTTTCTAAATTAAGTAGGTTTTTTAAATCAGCTATTTGACGTCTTAGATAGCGGTGGCATTTTTGAAAAAAATGTTGCCTATCTAAAGGAAAAAGATCTATTTGCAAATTTCAAATATAAGAAAGGTACTTTTTTTCTTTTTTATTTAATCTCATTTTTATTTTAATTGAAAATCCATACGTTACTGAAGGTAGCCGTACTATTCTTGATTTTTTAACTATATTTGGTTTAGAATGATAATTAAATAAAACACTACTTAAAAACTAAATTAATTTAAAATTCTGGGTTAAAGTGTCAATTAGTAATATAACATTGTTTTATACTATTTGAAATAAAAAAATATACAGAATAATATTTTTTTTACTGAAATATCATATGCCGACTACTGGCAAATAGACATGCCGAGCATTGGAAAATGGTGCCGAATACTGGCAAAAAACAGCTATTTAAGTAAAATTGCAAATTTTGCCAATTTAATAAAAACAAATTCAATTTTTGTTTATTATTTCCAAAATAAAACAAAATTTGGAATCTGGATAACTTAATTTATGTGCAATTGTAAGATTTCACTCAGAATGTTGGAAGATTGAAAAATCGAAAATCCTAAAAGTGCCGACTACTAGTACACTTACCCTATTTAAACAAATATTTATTATAAATTTATTATATCAGGCCATAGTCGAGAAGAATGAGTTCAATGCATGTGAATGTTTGTTGAAAATTTTTAATGAACTCAAGCACTGGCATGCATTTGAGGGCCATATTTAGTATTCTCTGTACTAGCGTGTAGAAGACATCAAGGACAGACACCATAGAATTTGAAATTTCGGAAGATTTTAATTTATTTTTACATCAAGGGCTTTATTTTGCCAACGTTAACATTTTCGTAAGGATTATGTAGTCAACATGAATCTTAAAAAACATATATACATTTTATTTTTTTTTGAGCTGTGTGTGTGTGTTTTTTTTTTTGTCAGAGATTTAAGATGAGCGTTTAAAGAAATGGGGGTGCTAACAAGAACTGTTTAACTTGATGGTGCTATGAAATAATAAACCTGCTAATTGAACTGTAATTTGAGTTCAAATAGAATAATAACTAGTATTGTTGAAGTATAATACAGTGATAATTTAAAATTGTTTGTAAAAACGGGTAGTAGAAAATTCAATCAAATTGTTTGACTGTTAGAATCATTGAAGTGGAACTACGTCATTACGTTATTCTTAATATTGTCAAATCGATAAAAAGTATTGCTTTTATCTGGTATTCAAAAAGCAGACTATATTGTGTTAATTTTATAAACCCTGCAATATATTATTCTAATGATCGTGCGATTCTCCAAATTTCATATATTGCTTTGGACAGGTGCAATTATGCGTATAAGTAACATACATAATTTAGCATCGGTACGCATACGCCCCATATTTGCACTGCTTAGTAAGATCCACAAGTCCTGTTAAAATTATTAACATAATAACAACATTAAAACCAGTAAAAAAATCTTAAAGTCGGGCGGGGCCGACTTTATGATACCCTACACCACTTTGCTAATTTAGTAGAGCTCCGCATAACAATTAAAAGTTTTTATGGGAGAATTCAATCATACACCCTATGATTATAATTATAATTTAAAGTTCGAAGGACTAAATATGCCGAAGCATTTGTATCTTTTAAATTCGGACTTGTATTGCCCATTTGGTGCACAATTTATTTGAAATCGGTTAAAGATATATATGGGAGCTATATCCAAATCGGAACCGATCTGGATAAAATTTGGGAAAGATATTTCTGAGCTGTATTTGATATATTTCCCTGAATATCGCTGTTACGAAGTGCATATTACAGCTGTGAGTAACAAATACAACAAACCGGATGAACAGTATATATGGGAGCTATAGCTATATCTGAACCGATCTTGTGATCGTGCAATTCTCCAAATTTCATATATTG